AAAATGCAAACTACAAACCTGTACAAACCAAGCACATCTTTGCACTTGAAAGTTTGATGATTAGAGACATGTATATATTAAAAATAAAAGTTTTGTTACACATGTTAAATTATGAGAGAATATCTTATTCCCAAAATGTCTTTGAATTATATTCATTGCATAGCAATTTGTGAAAAGGAATTAAAGGGCATGAAAGAAAGAAATCATCTATTTCTCTCAACAATTATGTTTCAAGCACAAAACCATGACTTTGATAGATCTATCTTAAGCACAGATGAGAAAGGTCTAAGTTTCAACTGTGTCGCTTGTCCACTTGCTGAAATTTAAAGTAAAAGTTAATTAAGACAGTTTCTAGGCCAGGTGTCGTTTGCTCACACCTGTAACCCTAGCTACTCCAGAGACTGAGATCTGAGGGCCACAATTCAAAGCCAGCCAGGGCAGGAAAGTCCATGAGTCTCTTATCTCCAATTAACCACCAGAAAACCAGAAGTGGCGCTGTGGCTCAAGCAGTATAGTACCGGCCTTGAGCTGAAGAGCTGAAGGACAGCACTCAAGCCCAGAGTTCAAGCTCCACGACCAACAACAACAAAAAAAGTTTCTATACATTTTCCAACTGTCTAGTGAAAAAGTTACATTAACTAGTGACCCTAATATAAGTAATATATATTTTCTCATAATTAGTAATTTTACTATTTAATATTTTTCCCAAGCAGATAGTCATGTCTAATTCTTTCTTTTCTAACTTTTATCAAAAATTTAAAGAGCATTTTCTTAAGAAACTATTAGATTGTATTTTCAAAAGCCATATTTGAGAATATTTGTAGCAACTTTAATGTGGTATGAAATGGAACTCCCTCCATAAACTAATGCTGTTTTGAAATGTATATATATATATATATATATATATATATATATATATATGACATAACTAGGGCTTGGAGGTATGGCTCAGGTGGTAGGAAGCCTGCCAATGAGTATAAAGCATCAGATAGTGAGTTCAAGTCACAGTCTCCAATGGGAGAAACAAACAAACACACAACTAATTATTTCTCTGAAATTTACTGATCAAATTCTCTTGGGTTTCAAAAGGCTGGGGTACAACTCAAATCATACCTTGCAAGTAGACGCCTTGAGTTCAAATTGCAGTATTGCTAAAAGGAAAAGTTCAAATGTACTTGGGTTTAGCAAGTCCATGAGGAAATTGAAAAGAATCGCTATAAATAGAGCAATTAAATTCTGGTCCTAAAGGTGCACAACTTTATTCACAGGAATGAAGGATATTTGTTTTCATTACTACATTGCTTAATGATTTTGGTGAAGAGATTTCTGGAATGTCTCCATTGGTCCCCGCCTTCTAAGGTAGAGCACATTGCTTTAGAAGTGGACTGCTCTATCCAGTGCCTCTGAACCACTCTGACCCTTGAAGGCAGAACTGAGGCTAGAATGTCCTGTAAGAGGGCAGCTGAAATCCTAGGCAGGACCCTCATTGCTTCAGGACCATGTGAGGCAGAGTTTCTCCTCAGCCTAGAGCCTCTAGTATCACAACTTGTTCAGGGTAACCAGAATGGACCAGAGTGTGGAATCACTTCTAACCTAACATTAGTGGTGGTTATAAACTGTCTTCAAATCTATTGAGACTCTCCCATCGAGACATGGCACCCTTCCCCATGAATGAATGAGCTTTATCTCTTTTCTTCTGTGTGGAAAAGTGATGCTCCATTACTTTTGAGAGCAGGTTATGAAAAAGGTGATCCTATTCGATCTAACATTCTCCCTCCCCTTCTAGGAAAACATGCAGAAGGCCATACCTTCTTATCACAAGGTCATTTTCTGATTCTGCCTGTTTTAGAGCTGAGGAATCTCATGGGGCTTCAGCCCTGCCTTTGTGCCCTTCTCTCTGATAGGGAGGTGGACACTTAACTTTCTAGTGTAGACTCTGATATACTGATTGGTTTGGGTGTCCATGTGTCCTCTGGATTTTCTGTTAGAGAAAGGCCAGCAATCTGTTTGACCCAGGTCTTATTTCAGAGTGAAGGCCATAACACTCACAATCTACCTTCTAAAAACATGCCTGGAATCATTTCCCTCTTTTCTTAGTAAGTTCTCAGAGCCCCTGAAAGGCAAGTTGATATGATTCAGATCAGTGTCCTCCAAAGGTCTAGTGTTATGTGCTTGGTCCTCAGGGTTGTACTATTTGGGTAAATTATACATAACCTTAGGAATTAGGTACTAGTGGGAGATCTTTAGCTCATTGGAATTACATTCTTAATGGGATTGTGGAATTCACAGCCCATATACTCCCTCTGTCCCCCAACACCATACACGTCTTGGCTCAAGATGAGAACGGTTGTGTTAGTACTATGATATTCCACTCTCAAAAGAGGATCAAAGCCTTAGGGCCATCCAGTCTTATAGTGGAAACTCAAGAATTGGAAGCTAAAATAATCCTTTTTATCTTTATAAGTAAATTGCCCTAAGCATCCCATTATAGTAATATAAGGCTAACTAATTCATATGGTGAATATAATCCAGTGTTATCCATTAGGACTCTATGCAATGACAGGATTATTCTACATCCATATACTTCATCATGGTGAATGGTTAAAGCTTGAGACAGTGACCACCACTGGTTGCTTGTTTCTGTCTAGCAAAGCAACACATAGTGGTAATCAAAACACCTGGTTGATTGTGTTCCTATATAAGACCTGCAAATCCTTAGCTTGGGGCTCTCCTAGGCTCTGCTGTGTCGGAGTGTAGGACGAGGCCCAAGCTGCAGCCCGTTTAAATAAAACAGCTGTAGAGTCTGACTCTCGGTGGTCTTCTTGTGGGGGGTCCTGCAACCTTGGCATAACAATGGTAGCCACTAGCTATGTGTAGCTATTAAGCATTTGCAATGTTGTTACTGTGACTAAGAAATAGAGGTTATATTTTATTTAATAGTGTTGAATTTAAATGTAAAGTTGCTATTTGGCCATCCTAGAGAGCGTAATGTAAGTAAATGGATCCCTGAATCTTCTCCAGGGCAGCTCCTACCTGAGTTTCTTCCATTTCATCCCTGGCCCATATTAAGGGGTCATTCCTCTTATTTTCACTTCTGATCCCTTATCTCTCAATCTAGTCAGTCCTTATTTTGTAAAGTTTGGCTCTCTTCTTTGCTTCCTCCTCTTATCTTGACTCTTATCTTGACAGCTGTAATCCTAGCTCTCAGGAAGCTAAGATCTGAGGATTGCTGTTCAAAGCCAGCCCTGGCAGGAAATCCAATTAACCACCAGAAAACTGGAAGTGGCACTGTGGCCCAAGTGGTAGAGTGCTCACCTTGAGCTGAAGAGCTCAGGGACAGAGCCCAGGCCCAGATTTCGAGCCCCATGAAAGGAAGAAAGGAAGGAAGGAAGGAAGGAAGGAAGAAAAGAAAGAAAGAAAGGAAGAAAGAGAGGGAGAGAGAGAAAGAAAGAAAGAAAGAGAAAGAAAGAAAGAAAGAGAAAGAAAGAAAGAGGGAAGGAAAGAAAGAAAGAGAAAGGAGTGAAGACTTCTTTTTCTTTTTCTTTTCTTTTTTTAAAGGTCTACTTCCTAGATCCCAGTTCAAGGAGATTCTAACACCAAGTTCTAGGCTAGTGGCCTAGAGATCTGTATTTCTTGAACATCCTACAGAACTTCTGTATTGCATCAAGTTTGATAGAATTAGAAGTTTTAAGTTGGTCCGTTCAATCTAATCACCATAGTTTATTTTGCTTTTCAGGGTCTATGTCCAGTTTTTGCAGTTTTTCATCTCTTCTTTCCTGCATTACTGTCACCCTCAATTTCCTCCCTTCTTTCTCTAAACTTCTACAAATACAAATCAGCTTTTTAAAATGATACAAATATATACAATAATTGTTCATCAACAGTGCACAATGCCCTGAGGTTTCCTCTTTCTTGAGTGTCCTACAATGTATGGACTCTTTAATGGAGGCTTTACTAACCTTTCTTTCTAGGATTTTGGTCCCTTTTGCCTTGTTTCTAACAACAAGTTTCTTTTTCTTAGGGTTGTTTTGCTAATCAGTGTATTAATAGTTATAAATTGTCATAAGTTCTCATTTGGCAGTGATTGTATTTGCTTCATCACCTCTGTGTTAGCATTGCCAACCACAACTGGTCTAGACATTGTATTAAAAATATAATTCCCTCTGGAAATCATTGGCACAGGACTGCCTCTATCTATGGATAGTTCTCTTAAGAGATTTGAAGTCTTCCTGGCATACAAAAATGTTGCCCTAGAAGATCCACCCTGTGGCCAGTATTATATAAGGGATAAGTCAGGTCAATGACTCACATTCATTTAATAGAATTCAGTCAATAAAAAAGGGTGGATTATGTGCGTTTGGCTCACATGCAATTCACTTGTACTAAAAAGAGGACCAGCAGAAAGTTGCAGCTTGGGGAGATTTAGAAATGACTTTGAATTTATATTGGGGGAGATGATGCATTCTTAAACATCTTGCTCCCAGAGATTAAAATTAGCTCTTCCCACCAGCTGTTGCTCCTTATTTTGGAGAGTGGGGGAGGGCCTCACATGGTTGATGAAACTGCTCTCAGTGGCTGTATTAGATTCTGTTAGAAAAGACTTGCATTTGGTTGAACATTCCAATCTGTTACATCCCCATCGGTCCATTGCTATGTGTCAGTCGTATGCAACAAAGATTCCTAAGGCTGCATGTTCCGGGTGATCGCTATTGTAAGCCAAGAGTCGTTTACCAACTTCCCATACTTAAAAGCCTTAGTTCACCTTAGCCCAAGACCCCTATAGAGGGCCACGCCCCCTACGCCAGAGTCTGGGGAGTCCGAGCGGAGACCCCTCCCGGCCCTGCCCAGCGGTCTTCTGGGCGTTGTAGTGGGTATCTCTCGTATCCAAATGGCCGTGATAGCCTCTCGGACTACAAATCCCAGCAGGCACCGCGCCGCGCACCTGCGCTTCCACCACCGGGAGAGCCGAGGCACTCGAGAGCTTCTCGAACGGGCGGAGGAAGCGGTGGACAGCGGCGGCTGGCAAAATGGACAACGCAGGGAAGGAGCGAGAAGCGGTACAGCTGATGGCGGAGGCTGAGAAACGAGTCAAGGCCTCCCACTCCTTCCTCCGAGGGCTGTTCGGGTGAGCGCCACAGTGTGCGTGCCCAGGGGGTTCTCCGTACTCCCCCCTAGACCCCTCCCCCCGCAAACCGCTGCCCTTGCACGGTCCCCAGAACACCCTCCGGGTCCCCTGAACCCTCCTAGCGTCCCTCAGGTCCCAGGGCCACCCTTGAGTCACCCAGGCTGTGTCTGAGGACCCCGTGTGTTCTCCAGAGACCTTCCTGGGCTCCCAGACCCCCATGGGGTCCTCTAGAACAGCGTCCGAGGCCTGCGAGCCCCCCACGTACCCTCCGAGGTCCCCAGTGTCTTCTGCATCCTTAGGAAGTGCTTGGGGTTCCCAGTCCCCACGCGCATTCCAGATCCCTCACCACACCTCTCTGGAGTGCCCCCGAACCTCGTTAGAGGAGCCCTCGGCCTCCGTGCGACCTCCAGAAGTCCCCCTAAGCTCCCCTAGAGACTCCCAGAACGGCCCCAGGGGCGCTCAGCCACTACCGTCCTCCAGAGACACCCAGGTCTCCCTCATTTCCTGCCCCCCCCCCCCAGCATTGGCTTTGTCAGAATCATAAGGGTTCCACACCTGGATCTAAACCTTGCTTGTGGGGTCCCCCTTGGCCTGGCGAGTAGGATTTGTGCTTTTCATGGGGATGGAGTCCACAGCGTTCCAGGAGACCCGTGTTGCTGGATGAGGGGTGCGAGGTGCTGTCCAGGGATCCAGCCTGGTGCCTGGCTGCCCGCGGGGAGTGCTAGGCCACCGCCCCCATTCCCTATCGGGGAATGGCACTCTGGCCTTGGCCCAGGGCCCTGGCGACCAGTAGACATTTATTAAATACTCCCTGGATAAAAGGAATTCATTTCCTCAGTATTGTGTTTTTCCTCTGCCAGAGGTGGGTTTATTACCAGTGCCACCAGTTTGATTAAAGATAACGTTTTAAGTCAACATCTTCGGGGAATTTCCTGTCGTCCTTAATGTCTTTTTTTGTTTTTTAATTCGTACCTCTCAAAAAGCAGAGCCTGCACTGACAGCTTGTGCTGGCTGGGCTGTTGATTATGTGAATGATTCAGCTGTTTGTGATGAGAAAGAAAGAAATCTCGATCTTTCTTTTTGAAATTGAAGGTCCTCTGTTGTCACCAAGAGCACCATGTTCTTCTCAAGAAGGATACTTGGCACATACTAAACCATCGCATTGTTTGACACAATTTTATTTCTGAACAAATTCAGTTTTGTCTCTTAGTTCAGGAAACACAGCCAATGAGTAAACTTTTGGTTTTGTGAAGTTCATTCTTTTGGTTACAAATTATAACATTGAAGTATTATGAGATATTTTAATGGTAAACCTTTATAGATACCTCTCTAGGAAAGGCTTATGAATAAGTTTCAAAAGGGTGTGATAGTGTGGGCTGCAAAGATGTATGAAGATAATGTGCCTATCTTCAAGGACCTCACAGAAGGCATTTATTACAGCTGAATTCTAAACTTCTCATATGACATATGGCTCAAAGATTTGCCTTGTTTCCCATACAAAAGTTACAAGGGCCTTTGTCTAGTATTTAATGCTAATGCTAAACAGAAATTCCTCTGTCTGATTCACAAGACGTTTAAAATTCATTCAAATAAATTCTTCATGCCAGTAGGAGATCTTAATGTTACATTGCATTTCAAATCAGGATGTACTTCTTGGGAAAATCTTAATTGGCAGAGAGGGAAGAAACAGCTCTGGATACTTCCATTTGGTCAAGAGACATTTGTTTTTTTTTAAAGTAGGTCAAATTTAGGGGCAGTAATCCTGAAAGGATTCTGAGAAATCTTTGCTTTTAAAGAAATATCTTTTGATTATTGCTGCCCTACATCACTGACAGGACATACATCAGCTTTATTCACACTCCATTTGCACATAAGTCATTGTATCTAGGTCTATCCTGGATATAGGAGCTCAGTTTATTATCTTAGCTTCTAGAACTTTGGGCAAGTTAGTGTTGCTTCCCTGAGTTTCATTCTCCTCTGTTATAGTAGGATGCTAAATAGTGCTTCCAATAATTAGGGAGAGTTTAGTGAACATATATTTGTGAAACATTGAGGATTACAGATGTTGGAGATGCTGCTTATCAGAAGTTAATTTGCATATTCTTTTTTTTAGGGGGGGGGCGGTCCGGTCGTGGGGCCTGAACTCTGGGCCTGGGCACTGTCCCTCAGCTCTTCAACTCAAGGCTAGCGCTCTACCACTTGAGCCACAGCGCCACTTCCGGCTTTTATCTTTTTGCTTATGTGGTGCTAAGGAATCGAACCCAGGGCCTCAGGCATGCAAAGCAAGCGCTGTACCACGGAGCCACCTTCCCAGCCCGAATTTGCATATTCTTAAAAAATGTCAGCTCCAGTTATTTATCAATAAGGTTTGAGGAGAGAATGAATTAAGTAGCTTTTCTAGGGTTTTGGAGCCAAACACTTGATCATTGGTTTTGTAATGAAATAAATAACCTAAAAGAGTTTGTAATTTATTAAAATGCCATGTAAGCATTATTTATACTTTTGAGGACTGCGTTATTTCCCATAATACTTGGCTTCTGGAAAACTTAGAGAATGAAGAATACTTAAGAGTACTGTGAGGTTTAACAATAATATATCATTTGAAGGAAAAAAACAATTTGCTGTTAATTTCGATGAGAAGACTAAGATTTTTTTATTATTATTATCCATGTTAGATGGTTAGTATCCCTTGTCTTCGGAAGGTAGCATCACATGCACCTGCCATCACCTTTCTAGGCTGGAGTACAAGTTACTCTACCCTGATCCTCTTCCAGTTATAATTCTTTAAAGTAGTGTAGTCTATACTCACATTAGACTCCTGAATTAACAACACAGAATTAACAAGATACACATATACCTCAATATAATTGGAGCTCACATAACTTAAGAGCTGAACAGTTAATGTTTACAAGGGGATAGATGGTACTGTCTTAAGGATATGGTAGCCAGTAAGAGGTGTTTGGTATATTGCAGATGTTTTACATCACAGACATTTGTAATACCCTGACTGCAGATTAAAGCCTGTCATGGGTTTATGTTCTTCTTTTCTCATTGTTGATCTCCCACCCACTCTGGCTTTGTGGCAATATTGTATGCTCACCATTATTTGATAGTTCTTATTTGTTGTTGTTGCTTTCAGTATGATGAAAATATTCACACATATTCACAAGAAAGGGCTAGTCAATATTTCTTCAGATTGTTAGGCACAAGTTCCATGCTTTGTCTGCTTGGTAGAACAGGTGACTGTACTTTCCCACCATACCTTTCTCCCATAGCCCTTTCCCACAAGAAAATAGCTGGAAAGTGATATAAACATTGCAGGAAGAGAGGTTCTACTTCTGCTTTGTTTTCCTATGTGATTGCTGGTTAGTTAAATAGTGATGTGTTTCTCTAGCTGTAGATAAAATTAAGTCTTATTCTGAAGGATATACAGTTGTCCCTCACTATGTTGCGTTTGCTTATCAGGGCTTCACTGTGTCATGGGTCAAAAATATGTAAATAGTTATCCCTCACTTATCACGGCATTTATGTTCCAGAGAACCCTGTGTTAGGTGAAAATCCACGAAGTAGCAATAAGTTAACCACAGTATAGCAAGGGATGACTATATGACACTGCTATTTGGTAGACTTTCACCTACCATGGGGGTCTCTGGAACATAACTCCCGTGATAGGTGAGGGATCACTGTAGTATAGTATAGTATGATATAGTATAGTATAGTAAAAACTACTTCCAAAAGCTGTGTTGTCATTTTGTTCTTTGGCATGAATGAGCTATAGAATTTTGTAGTAATTTCAGGTTTTTAATTTAGATCTTAATAAGGTTTAAAATAGTTTTGAAATTCAAAGACCTCCTTATTGTTAGCTCCATTTGTTGCTAAGATAGAAACCGAGGTTAACCTGTACAGTGCCATCTAAGAAAGAGGTGCTTAAGAATGACAGATTATAAAGGAGGTAGAAATCTGGCTGTGGCAGTGTAAATTTAGTGAAGGGACCGATTGCCTATCTTGATATTATCATGAATCTACAACTGACTTGCTATTTTTTTTTTTTTTTTGGTCCAGTCGTGGGGCCTGAACTCTGGGCCTGGGCACTGTCCCTCAGTTCTTCAGCTCAAGGCTAGCGCTCTACCACTTGAGCCACAGCACCACTTCTGGCTTTTTTTTCTTTTTGCTTAAGTGGTGCTGGGGAATGGAACCCAGGGCCTCATGCATGCAAGGCAAGCGCTCTACCACTGAGCCACCTTCCCAGCCCCATGACTTGCTATTTATAAAAGCTGGAAATATTTCTTAAGCACTGTAGGCTATTATCAGAGTTCATTTGGCTTTATTTCAGTGAAGATGAAAGTGAATAGGCTGGGCACTGTTGGTTCATGCTTGTTAAGACTCGGAAGATTATGGCTGCATGCCAATCCAGCAGAAAATTCAAAACTTATCTCAACATTAGAAGCTGGGCATGGTGGCATATATGTGCCATATTATAGGAAGCCTAAAGTAGGCAAATTGTGGTACGTGCAGGTACCTGTACATTACAGTAAAGATGTGTCTACATTTTGCCTAAATATGTACTGTCCTGTGATAGCCTTCATAAGGCATTTAGGATTTTCCCAGCTATAATTTAATATTCCACTACAGATTAAACTTTTAGAAAAATCATAAGGACTTGACCGTTAAGTGATAGAGCACCATCTCTAAATGAAAAAGCCAAGCAAGAGTGCAAGGCCCTGACTTCAAAAACCTCATGACTAGCACCAAAAAACAAACAAACAAACAAAACCCAGCCTATTAAGGTAAGCTTTACAGATAGACACAAATGATATGTATTAAAAAATGTATATTGTAATGTAAGAACTAGAATAATCTATGGATAATTATTTCAGATATTATGTGATATAAAACAAATGCAATGGTATTTGTGGCTCTGGTTCTCTCATTTACAGTTTGATGACCATAGCTAATCAAGAAAGTCATTCTCAGGGGACTTTTGTTTTAACTTTCAAATG